CTCTCACATTCCTATACACTAACAATGAAAAATTTGAGAGAGAAATTAAGGAAACACTCCCACTTACCATTGCAACAAAAAGAATAAAATACCTAGGAATAAACCTACCTAAGGAGAAAGGCCTGTATGCAGAAAACTATAAGACACTGATAAAAGAAATCAAAAACAATACAAACAGATGGAGAGATATACCACGTTCTTGGATTGGAAGAATCAACGCTGTGAAAATGACTATACAGCCCAAAGCAATCTACAGATTCAGTGCAATCCCTATCAAACTACCAATGGTATTTTTCACAGAACTAGAACAAAAAATTTTTACAATTTGTATGGAAATACAAAAGACTCCAAACGGCCAAAGCAATCTTGAGAAAGAAAAACAGAGCTGGAGGAATCAGCCTCCCTGACTTCAGACTATACTACAAAGCTACAGTAATCAAGACAGTATGGTACTGGCACAAAAACAGAAATATAGATCAATGGAACAGGATAGAAACCCCAAAGATACACCCACGCACCTATGGTCATCTTATCTTTGATAAAGGAGGCAAGAATATACAATGGCGAAAAGACAGCCTCTTCAGTAAGTGGTGCTGGGAAAACTGGACAGCTACATGTAAAAGAATGAAATTAGAACACTTCCCAACACCATACACAAAAATAAACTCAAAATGAATTAAAGACCGAAATGTATGGCCAGACAGTAAAAAAAACTCTTAGAAGGGGACTTCCCTGGTGGCACAGTTGTTAAGAATCCACCTGCCAATGCAGGAGACATGGGTTCGAGCCCTGGTCAGGAAGATCCCACATGCCATGGAGCAACTAAGCCTGTGCGCCACAACTACTGAGCCTGCACCCTACAGCCCGCGAGCCACAACTACTGAGCCCACATGCCACAACTACTGAAGCCCACACACCCTAGAGCCCGTGCTCAACAAGAGAAGCCACTGAAATGACAAGCCCATGCACTGCAATGAAGTGTAGCCCCCTCTCGCTGCAACCAGAGAAAGCCCACACGCAGTAACAAAGACCCAACACAGCCAAAAATAAATTAATTAATTAAAAAAAAAAACTCTTAGAGGAAAACATAGGAAGAACACTCTTTGACATAAATCACAGCAAGATCCTTTTTGACCCACCTCCTAGAGAAATAGAAATAAAAACAAACAAATGGGACCTAATGAAACTTAAAAGCTTTTGCACAGCAAAGGAAACCATAAACAAGACCAAAAGACAACCCTCAGAATGGGAGAAAATAATTGCAAACGAAGCAACTGACAAAGGATTAACCTCCAAAATATACAAGCAGCTCATGCAAGTCAATATCAAAAAAACAAACAACCCAATCCAAAAATAGGCAGAAGATCTAAACAGACATTTCTCCAAAGAAGATATACAGATTGCCAACAAACACATGAAAGGACGCTCAACATCACTAATCATTAGAGAAATGCAAATCAAAACTACAATAAGGTATCACCTCACAGGGGTAAGAATGGCCATCACCAAAAAATCTACAAACAATAAATGCTGGAGAGGGTGTGGAGGAAACAGAACCCTCCTGCACTGTTGGTGGGAATGTAAATTGATACAACCACTATGGAGAACAGTATGGAGGTTCCTTAGAAAACTAAAAGTAGAACTACCATATGACCCAGCCATCCCACTACTGGGCATATACCCTGAGAAAACCGTAATTCAAAAAGAGTCATGTATCACAAAGTTCACTGCAGCACTATTTACAGTAGCCAGGACATGGAAGCAACCTAAATGTCCACTGACAGATAAATGGATAGAGAAGATGTGGCACATATATACAATGGAATATTACTCAGCCATAAAAAGAAATGAAACTGAGTTATTTGTAGTGAGGTGGATGGACCTAGAGTTTGTCATATAGAGTGAAGTAAGTCAGAAAGAGAAAAACAAATACTGTATGCTAACACATATATATGGAATCCAAAAAAAAAAAAAAAAAGGTTCTGATGAACCTAGAGGCAGGACAGGAATAAAGACGCAGACGTAGAGAATGGACTTGAGGACACGGGGAGTGGGAACGGGAAGCTGGGATGAAGTAAGAGAGTAGCACTGACATACATACATTCTCAAATGTAAAATAGATAGTTAGCAGGAAGCAGCTGCATAGAACAGAGAGATCAGCTCAGTGCTTTGTGACCACCTAGAGGGGTGGGAGGGAGATGCAAGAGGGAGGGGATATGGGGATATATGTATACATATAGCTGATTCACTTTGTTATAGAGCTGAAACTAACATAACATTGTAAAGCAATAATACTCCAATAAAGATGTGAAAAAAAAAAAGATGTGATACACACACATACACAATTGGATATTATTCAGCTATAAAAAAGAAGGAAATCTTGCCATCTGTGACAACATGTATGGACCTAGAGGGTATTACGCTAAGGGTATTATGTGAAATAAGTCAGAGAAAGACAAATACTGTATGATTTCACTTATATGTGGAAGCTGAAAAACAAAACAAATGAAGAAACAACAAAACAGCAACAGTCACAGATACAGAGAACAAACAGGTGCTTGCAAGAGGGGAGGAGGGTGGGGAGAGGGGAGAAATAGGTGAGGGAAATTAAGAAGTACAAACTTCCAGTTGCAAAATAAATAAGTCACAGGTATGAAATGTACAGTGTGGGGAAAAACAGTCAATAATTACGTAGTATCTTTGTATGGTGACGTATGGTAACTAGACGTAACGTAGTGATCAGTTTGAAATGTATGGAAATACTGAATCACTATGTTGTGTAACAGGAACTAATGTAGTGTTGTAGACCAATTATACTTCAAAAACAAACTCATAGAAAAAGACATCAGATTTTCCAGTGGTGGGGGGGATAAACTTCCAATTATAAGATAAATAAGTACTAGGGATGTACTGTACAACGTGATAAATATAATTAACACTGCTGAATGTTACACAGGAAAGCTGTTGAGAGTAAATCCTAAGAGGTCTTATCACAGGAAAAACAATCTTTTTTCTATTTATTTAATTTTATATCTATATGAGATGATGGATGTTCATTAAACTTTGTGGTCATCATTTCATGATGTATGTAAGTCAAATCATTATGCTGTACACCTTAAACTCATACAGTGCTGTATGTCGATTACATATCAATACACCTGGATGAAAAAAATATATAGATAGGATCATATGATAAAAAAAAGGAAAGAGGGTTTCAGATTGCCTTTACAGGTCATGGGATCTAGCTACAAGTCAATAGCATTGCTTTATTTTTAGTGCACTTATTTTTACAGTTTCATTCTATTTATGTAAGTGATATGGGTCTTCCACTTACCATGGTGGTGTGAAGTTTCTTTTTTTTTCAGTGACTTGATTTAAATAAGTAAACGATAATTCAAGTGATACACTAATATGGCCAAAACCACTAGTTTAATGGTTAAATTACAAGAAGCTGGAGAGTAATTAATGTCTTTCAGTAGAAGTATGGAAAAGAAAAAAAGCCTCAGCTGATGCCTCAGAACACGCTCTAGAAATGAACAAATGAAACTGAGCACCTGCTGCTAAAATATGCCAACTTGCTTAAAACAGGCAATTTAAATCCAACTTCCTCCAGAAGACAATCCACCAGGCAGAACAGCACTGAAAGATCATGAAAACCTTCCAAGATCTAATTTTATCAGTTTTTTTCCCTTCCTTGTCCCTTATAAATGGGGTGTATTAAGTTCCATAAATAGAGCTAAATCATTAAACTAAGACAACAGATTTCATTTCTTTAAGAAAAAGAACCAGTTATGCTGTCAATTCTTTTCTTAGTTCTATTTTTCAATTCTATTTTTCCCTCACAGCAGCCTGCAGAAGGTCACCCCTCCATGATTCCTCAGCAACTCTGGCAGAGCTGTGACTTCTCAGCACCCGAGAAAACGGGCTGCAAGGAGTTCCGAGTGAGGACAAGCACAAACTCCCTGCTCTGACCTTTATCGTGTCCACACCGACCCAGTTATGCAGGATTTATGAATCTCACACAGGACTTCAGAAGGCAACTAACAATCAGAATTTCAAACACCACTTCCCTAGTGGTCCAGTGGTTAAAACTCCATGCTCCCAATGCAGTGGGCCTGGGTTCAATCCCTGGTTAGGGAACTAGATCCCACATACCACAACTAAGAGCCCGCATGCCGCAACGAAGATCCAGCACAGCCAAATAAATAAATTTTTTTTTTAAAAAAAGAAAGAACCTCAAACAATCCGCCAATGCAACTGCAAACTTGCTAACCTCTAATAGCAATAAAAATCTTGCTAGATGCACATGGACCCTTAGTTAAAACATCTGGTGTGTATGTCTGTGCCCCAGCACCCGTAAGTCCGATGAACCAAGGAGGGGTCACGGAGGATAAGCACTCAGCAGCAAAGTCAAAGCATCATGATGAAAAGAGTATCAAAGGAATAAACCATATGCGTGTTAATGTGCCCAGACTTGGCCAAGCACTGTGAATACCGAATAGTATACAACGATTTCTACCTCCCAGAGTTAATAAACACAAATACTAATAATTAACCAAGAGCAACTTAAATGAGTGCAGTCAATAACTGCCGTCATTTCTCTTCTTCTGACCTCCTATAAGGCACTGATTTTAAAAGGACATAATATTCCTCTATCCTCAAATTAGTCACCTATCCAACTATTAAACTGCCTCATTTAATCAAAGTCTCTATTTTTTAACATTCTAAGAATCTGTTCAACTGTCTTCCTGCTCAGTAGAAACCAACAGTTTCCTCTGAAAGTAGGGTAAGAAGTATGGAAACCTTCCCTTGTAATTACGTAAACTTCTACTTCAATTTTTAACTTAAAGTAACAACATTTTCTGGATTAAAAATTCTCAGTAACTGCCACAAGTAATTACTCTAATTCTCTAAAGGCCTGCATTAGGCTGTCTCAAGTCTCATATACTTTATTCTTTACATCTTCATTCAAGGACAAGATTTTAAAACAATCACATTACCTATTCCCAAGCAAAAAAGTCCAATGTTTCTCAATGAAAGCGCAGATGTCTTCTTTCCACCGGAAATAGCCCTGACGCCCACTACCTTCCAGGGACAAGTTGTACATTGCCAGCATGACCACCTGAAATAGAAGCAGAATAGGCTGGGAGAAAAGCACAAACAGGTATGGTAAACTTCAGTGGGGAAGGTGTGCTGTTTTATACTCTGAGTATGAATAGAGGGGGGAAAAGGAAGGATAATATCTTGGAATATTCTCAGGATAGAATTCTACTTCCTTTTCGCTTTCCATAGATGAGCATCACTGTTCCCCTTAATCACGTGCACTTGTTCCTCCCATGTGACATGTGCAAGGCTGCTGTGTGGCTGAACTGGTGATGAGTAACTACCGCCCTAAGCAGCCCCCATCCCAGTCCCCCTCCACCACTCAAAGGCAGCTAAACACCGTGTCAACCAATGGCATCAGGAGGCCCCAGGGCCTGCTCCAGCCGGCATTTCTGACGGACGGTGCTGACCTTTACTAAATATTCCAAGCATCACCCCTGCACATATACTTTTCTAAGCTCTTTAGAGGGCAGAAACAATAGACTCTCGGAATTTCAGAGCTGAAGTTAACGTGAGGTACCATCCACTCTGGGTTTAGCCTTTCTCAGCTGTGGAAACTGTTCCTGAGATGAAATCAGAATAGACAAGGGGCAGGGACCTGAAAGGCCTGGCTGCCTGGCCCATCCTCAGAGAGGAGGACACCCCCAGCTCCACATCTAATCTAACTTCGTATTTAACAGATAATGAATTCACAGCCCCAAATGGGAAAGTACTTTGCAGAAATATGAATAACACAGTCTCACTGTAAAAGACTTCACTAAAAGAGCAAAGGAAGTAAAAATCATTTTAAATCCAGCATCAAGAAATAATCTTTTAACATTTTCAGTGATTATCCTATTAGACATTTCTCTTCGCATCTAAATGCAATTTTGTAATCATAAATGGACAAGAAACTACACATGCTATTCAAAACCATGTTTTCAACCTAATAAAAATAATGATTAATTTGGGGCCAGCACAATTGAAAAGGGGACAGAACCTAAGAAAAGAATCCTTCCGTAACTCTTCTTTCCATGAGGAGCAGCCAAAAGCTGTACAGGGTCTAACAGACTGCAGTTCACGCTCCCCGACATCGATGTTCACAGCCCCAAATCCCGATGGCCCAACAGGGAGACCTACAACCACACCCTCAAAGGGGCCTGGTGATTCTGATGCTCCTACCAAGTCTCAACTTCCCCCATCCTTAAACTTGTAAAATTTGCAGACAGTCTGCCAATTAACCCCATGAACAGACTTTTCAAATCGTTCCACTCATTTTTGCATCGGGTCTGCATCAGCCAACAAACCTCTCCCTTTAAAGTTATTGTTCACAGGGAGTCGTTGTTTAACAGACACAGGATTTCACTTTGGGGAGATGAGCACTTTCTGGAGATGATGGTGGTAATGGTTGCAAAACAATGTCAATGTGCTTAATGCCACTGAACTGTATGCTTAAAGACGGTGGAAAGGGTATGCTTTGTTATGTATATACACATTTTTATAAATTTATTAATTTCTTTTTGGCTGTATTGTGTCTTTGTTGCTGTGCACAGGCTTCCTCTAGTTGCGGCAAGTGGGAGCTACTCTTCGCTGAGGTGCGTTGGCTTCTCATTGTGGTGGCTTCTCTACTGAAGCCCGCACAGGCTCTAGGCGCGCGGGCTTCAGTAGTTGTAGCACGTGGGCTCAGTAGTAGTGGCTCGCGGGCTCTAGAGTGCAGGCTCAGTAGTTGTGATAGGCTTAGTTGCTCCGCAGCATGTGGGATCTTCCCGGACCAGGGCTCAAACCCATGCCCCCTGCATTGGCAGGCTAATTCTTAACCACTGCGCCACCAGGGAAGCCCTGTTACATATATTTTACTACAATTTAAGAAAGCTATTGCTCAAGAAATACCTTAAGAAAAGGATGGAATGAGCTATTCTACCCACTCAGACTCCTAGAGTAACCTGGAAACGTGTATTCACTGTTAATCTCCGTGGCACAGACACAAGTGTGTTGTTTCATTTCCGGTACTTTGTTTTTGGAAACATTTCATGACTTTAGAAAGTTAAAATTCACATACTTACTTGCAAATAACTTTTCCTATTATCACCAAATTTACTGAGCAAACTAAAAATCCAATCATGAAGGACATGGTTTTCCCCCTCTTCTGGAATTTGTAATCTTAAAGAACGAATCCCAGTTGCGTTTCCGCTCTTACACCACCAGCCCAAGCTCATAGTAACAGGCTGGCCTTGGGAACCAGCACAGCTCCAAGGCCTTGCTCAGGCTGGCACAGCCCAGTGGGCACCTCCCAAGTATCTACTGAAGAGCATGTAGAAAGATAATGAGCGTGTCTACGACAAGAATGTAAAAACTACCCTACTTGATAGCTTCCCTACTTTTCAGACTGTTGTTCACACGTCACCAAGGAGGAGGACACAGAAAGTGTGTGGAAGGAGCCTATTAGTCACCTCATTACTGTTGGCATTTTGTAATATAAACAAGCATTTCTACTTCTTATTTTGATAAATCAACAAAGTTTAAGATTTAAAACAGCAGAAAACCCACATTCCAATTGGAATATGACATCAATAGAGTCTACTCCAGACCAACGGATCCTCTTTTAGCTCCTGCATGAGAGAGAGAGACAGAGGGAGAGAGAAAGGGGGAGGGAGAGAGAGGGAGAGAGAGGGAGAGAGAGAGGGAGGAAGGGAGGGAGAGAGGGAGAGAGGGAGAAAGACGGAGAGGGAAAGGGGGAGGGAGAGGGGGAGGAAGAGAGGGAGAGAGGGAGAAAGACGGAGAGAGGGAGAGAGAGGGAGAGAGGGAGAGAGAGGGAGAAAAAGAGATGCACCTAGAAACAATGGTCAGTACTTTTCCAAGAACCAGATGTATCTAGTCCCAGTTTTCACTTCATTATCCCAGGGTATTTATTATCCATATGTCTTTTGGAAATGAAAAATAATGTTCAAGAGATGTTAGTCTGATTAAATAAGCAAATTGAGGGCTTCCCTGGTGGCGCAGTGGTTGAGAGTCCGCCTGCCGATGCAGGGGACACAGGTTCATGCCCCGGTCCGGGAAGATCCCACATGCCGCAGAGCGGCTGGGCCCGTGAGCCATGGCCGCTGAGCCTGCGTGTCCGGAGCCTATGCTCCGCAACGGGAGAGGCCACGACAGTGACAGGCCCGCGTACCGCAAAAAAAAAGCAAATTGAGCCAATACTGACAATATATTGAGCAATATAATCAAAAGCCACTTTTTCTTTTAAAAACAATCTCCACAGAAAACTCATAGTCTTAAAAGTAACAAATTACATACATTTGCTCTTCTTCCATTTTACAATTTTATGAGAAGCTACCTGCAGGCCAAATGCAAATCTGCCTACGTGTGCAAACATCAGAATAATCTACTAATATTAATCTGAACTTGCCTAGACACAGCATCCCATGCACACTTTAAAAAAAAAAATCCCGGGCTTCCCGGGTGGCGCAGTGGTTGAGAGTCCGCCTGCCGGTGCAGGGGACGCGGGTTCGTGCCCCGGTCCGGGAGGA